CGTTCGGCGTGAAGCACCAATAGAAGTAGTGCTATAATGCACCGTAGCCGTATGGCATGAAGATTAGGGCCCATTGAGAAGAGACCACATTACAGAGGGTTCTGAAAAGAACTGTGAATCAACCAGGCTTGCTCTGATTATGAATGGGCTTCTAGACTGTTGTGCGTACTATCTGTGAGAGAAATTTGGCTGGGTAGGGAAGGGGGGAAGGGTGACGGGTTTCTTGCTGGAGTCGCGAGGCTTCTGGTTACTTGGTGGGCTGGCAAGGGCTGGGATTAGAACTGTACTAGAGTCTAGCTGCATTTGATTGGTTGGAGTACAGGGAGTGGCTGAGATTTGTCGCCAGAGCGAGTCGCATTTCCAAATCCGAGATTTGAACAACCAAATCACTCGCAAACCCTTCATTGAGGTGTTCGATATTATAGGTAGCTCTATATGGGTTTGCAAAACAGATACAGACTGTTTTGGATATACCCGATGTAAGGCGCTTGAGATCTCTGTACATTGTATTAGTGGTATTGTTCAGGCATCAGCCATAAAAGAATGTTATGATTGCTCATGTCAAGTCAGAAATATAGACATGAATAACAACAGCAGAATACATGTCCCATCAGGCATTGTCAAGCTTAAGTGGTGTTTTTTCAGAATACATGGCGTGATTATGCTCGTAGGTTTTGTTGTTTGAAAAATAGGTGCCCTGTAGTGCCAGCGCGCCTTAGTCGTCTCGCGGCTTGTGACGACGTCCGTTCAGATTTGTGGCTCACAGCTTGGACAGGTTGCGTTCGGAGGTGCATTTGGACAGGTTACGCCACGGACTGTTTTGTAAACTTAGCATCTTAACGTCATTTACTGAGTCGCGCTTGTTAGAGGCGTGTAACCGGGCGCGCGCCATGCTAGTAAAATACCGTATCACTTGTGAAGTCGGTATCGTTACGGAAAACGAATATCAGCGTCTCGTAACAGGCTGAAGGAACTCCGAGAAGACGCTGATAACAGATGGGAATGAACGGGTGGTGCTTTGCCGATCTGATGCTGGAGTTGGTAATTAAATATCGCGTTGCAGTCGTTATCGTGTCCTCTAAAAACACGTAGAAACCGTGAAAAAATCGGCGGGAATTGTGATGACTAGTAAGTCAGCAGGTAATGAACGGGTGGTGCTCTGCTCTCGTTCTATCGTGCGTATTTGAAGAAGAGAGTGAAGTTGAGAGCCTACTCCCCGCAGGCCCAGCAGGTCAGGCTACGTGAAGTTTGTTGAATACACCTGCCTGGCAACACGCTCGAACAAGCACACGTTCGTGACCAACAACCAACGGAAACAGAGCCGTCAACCAACCAGCATGTCAACACCCTCGTTACAAAACGGTTAAAAACCTTGATATTTCCATAAACAACGTTACATATGAAGACAATCATGAGTAATCATTAGTATAAAACCAGGTGTCACTAATTATATAAAAAGGGCGTCAACTCAATATGGTTCCATTCGCACTAATGTCAGAATGTTATCTTATGCTCTAGCCTGTAGTGGGGTGCTCTATAGCGAGTACAACCCTTCTAGGGTTTGCTATTTGTATCCTCATTCTTGCTAGTGCAACCCTCTTCTTTCTTCTAAACTTTAATATGCTATCAGAGCAGGTCGATCCCCTTGGATCGATCCTGTGGGTGGGCTCACCACCTTGTTGCTTCCGCTGCAACTGCTACTGCTACTCTCTGTGCCGCACGCCCCGTGGCGTGCGGCAGTTTTTCTTCCCGCCGTGCGCCCCGAGGCGCGCGGCGGTTTTCTGCCCGCCGTGCGCCCCGAGGCGCGCGGCGGTTTTCTGCCCGCCGTGCGCCCCGAGGCGCGCGACGGGTTTCTGCCCCGTCACTCGCCGCGTCGCCCCCGGGAGGCGCTGCGACGGGCGACGGGGACCCGTCGCGCCGCCCAGGGGAGCCGCGCGCGGCCCCTGCTGCCCCGTCGCGCGGCCCTGCTGCCCCGTCGCGCTGCCCAGGGGAGCCGTGCGCGGCCCCTGCTGCCCCGTCCCGGACCTGCCCCGGCCCCGACCTGCCCCGGCCCCGACCTGCCCCGGCCCAACTCCCGTCGCCCGTCGCGGCGCCCTGGGGGGGGCCGCTACAGGGGGCCGCGCGTTGCCCCCCCCCCCCCCCCCTACCTCCCTACCCTGTTTTTAGGGTTTGGGGGGTGGCGGTTGGGGGGTGGCGGTTGGGGGGTGGCGGGTGTGTGGCGTCGCCTGCTCCTCCTCCTCCTTCGTCTCCCACTGCTGCAGCTATCGCTGAGGGGGGGTGGACGTGTTGGAGCCGGTGGAGTGGTACTAAGGGGGGGTGAAGGGGGAGTGGAGCTAGCGGTGTAGCAGCGGGTATGTGCCAGGGGGGAGTGGGATAGTTTGGGGAAGCTGAATGGAGGTTGCCGTCGTGTCGCCAGCAGCACCTGTATTCCGGGGACTTCGTCCGGTAGCCCAGTCGTAGCCAGCTGTGCCAGCCGCCCGTGGGTCCGTTGCTCGTCTGCCGCTACTTTAGCCGCGGGGCCTGTTACTCCTGTATTCCGGGGACTTCGTCCGGTAGCCGCTGTGCCAGTCTGCCTCCTGTTGCCTGTGTGTCTGCAGCTTCAGCCGTCGCCTCCTATCTCCTCTCCTCTCACTCTCTCTCCTCCTCCTCACTTGCCCGTTGTGACTACCACTAGCTTTGCTCATAATTGTGAACTTAAACTATTGCTTCTTGAACTTGTGCTCAGAATGTGTGGTGACATTGTGATCCACCCTGAGCTTGTACTCCTTTGCTTACTCTGCTGATTACACCCCACTTTGGCTATGGGGGTGTGTCATAATGTTATCTTATGCTCTAGCCTGTAGTGGGGTGCTCTATAGCGAGTACAACCCTTCTAGGGTTTGCTATTTGTATCCTCATTCTTGCTAGTGCAACCCTCTTCTTTCTTCTAAACTTTAACAACTAATGACGTAGTATTGAACAACGAATGATGTGAAACCGTGCGAGTACAGACCTGGACTACAGATGATGCCGTTTCGACGCTGCGTTGCTCATTTTTGCAGGGTTTCTTCACACCACTGGGTCATGAATGATATTAGAAGGGTGGCAAATCATCTTGGTGCCATTCGCACGACTGGAGAACGAGTGACGCAGTTGTGAACGTCGAATGATGTGAAACCGCGCGAGTACAGACCTGGACTGCAGATGATGCCGTTTCGACGCTGCGTTGCTCATTTTTGCAAGGTTTCTTCACACCACTGAGTCATGAATGATATTAGAAGGGTGTCAAATCATCTTGGTGCCATTCGCACGACTGGCGAACGAGTGACGCAGTTGTGAACGTCGAATGATGTGAAACCGCGCGAGTACAGACCTGGACTGCAGATGATGCCGTTTCGACGCTGCGTTGCTCATTTTTGCAAGGTTTCTTCACACCACTGAGTCATGAATGATATTAGAAGGGTGTCAAATCATCTTGGTGCCATTCGCACGACTGGCGAACGAGTGGCGCAGTTCTGAGCGTCGAATGATGTGAAACCGCGCGAGTACAGACCTGGACTGCAGATGATGCCGTTTCGACGCTGCGTTGCTCATTTTTGCAAGGTTTCTTCACACCACTGAGTCATGAATGATATTAGAAGGGTGTCAAATCATCTTGGTGCCATTCGCACGACTGGCGAACGAGTGACGCAGTTCCGAGCGTCGAATGATGTGAAACCGCGCGAGTACAGACCTGGACTGCAGATGATGCCGTTTCGACGTTGCTTTGCTCATTTTTGCAAGTTTTCTTCACACCACTGAGTCATGAATGATATTAGAAGGGTGTCAAATCAGTTTGGTGCCATTCGCACGACTGGCGAACGAGTGACGCAGGTCTGGACGTCGAATGATGTGACACCGTGCGTGTACAGACCTGGACTGCGGATGATGCCGTTTCGACGGTGCGTTTATTTGTCTTGCAACTTTTATTCCCAGAAACTGAGACACTTATGATGCTATACATTCGTCACCCCAATTAGTTGTCGTTCCCGAAATGTTATGGTTTTCAACTGGACCTTTTGAGTGAATGTTTACCGTTTTATATATACAAAACTAAATGGTTTGTTTTTCAAACAATTCTGAACCTACACCCAACCCCCCTTCATGAACTCAACCTCAGCGGTTGGATGTGCTGAGGGTTTCGTTATCGAGGGCTAGGAGAGCTTCACGCGAGCCCTGAAACAACCCTGGGCGTTGTTCCTATCTCGACGTTTTCAAACCCTTGGCCTTGCTCTATCTGCTCTGTTCGGCTGTTTGAATTTTGAGATGTCAAACTTGAGAACTCTGTGCCAACCCTAGCCCACGACCATAGCTACTAACCTCACCTTACACCATGCCTAGCGTTCGGTACCAACCCTGGCCGACCACCACAGCCACTTACCCCAGATATCCGCCAGGCCTAGCGTCCAGTTCTCAACTGAGTAAGGGAACGTCATCTGCTGTGAACGCGTTACCATACCTCACCTCCCTCCCCAAGCCTGATTCAGTGACACAGTCATTACCACAGATTGCCACCAGGCCTTGCGTCCAGTTCAGCTTTGCTACGGATCGTCAACTGCTGTCGGCGCGTTGCCTCACCGCACCTCATTCCCAAGCCTGATTCAGTGACGAGCCTTACTTTCCACCGTCTCACCAGGAGTCACGCTATTTTCGTAGTATATAATGGCGGGTCCGCCTCATTTTCCGCACAAACTTACCGAGAATCACTCTTCAAAGCTTCTCTACTTCTTCCGTCATGGAACAGTCTAACGCAACTGCTTCCGCCCTAATCTCTTCCATCCGCGGGCGTCGCCAAAATGGCCGGTTTCCTGCGATGCCCGGAACCCAGGCAATTCGTGCTGCATCGATGGGACATGCTACCTCTCTCGGTATCAACGTGGCGGCTCGACCATCTTCTCCGAAAAGTGAGTTTTTTGATGTTGTTTTGTTGCACACCATTTTACGCTCTGTTTCTAGCTTCCTTGTGTTGATTCCGCAGGCCAATGAGAGATATTGACACATTGTTGCTGTATCTCATTTGTGCAGGTCCTGTTCGGACGCGCTCCTTACACGCTGTGTTTTCCGACGCGGTAGGAAGTCAGCCGCGTCACGAGGAGAATCGGCCGCTCAACACCAGTGGTCATGCTCCACAAATCCCGGCCTCGCGTGGTGATGCGACTTCCGCTCACGTCAATGGCGTGGGAACGCCATCTGCTCACCATTCTCTGCGTTCCGGAAGTCAGGGCCGGTCGGGTGGGCGGCGAGCAGGTCAGGCGGCCCGCCAGAGTTCCGCCAATGCCGCAGGGCGCACGTCTGCTGCTGCTGGCGCAGGCCAGCAGTTCCGCCACGCTGCAGGGAGCAACACCGCCGCTGATGCATCTGGCGGGCTGCTTGGCGAGACCGCTGGGCGCACGTCTGCTGCTGCTGGCGCAGGCCAGCAGTTCCGCCACGCTGCAGGGAGCAACACCGCCGCTGATGCATCTGGCGGGCTGCTTGGCGAGACCGCTGGGCTGACGTCTGCTGCTGCTGGCGCAGGCCAGCAGTTCCGCCACGCTGCAGGGAGCAACACCGCCGCTGCTGCATCTGGCGGGCTGCTTGGCGAGACCGCTGGGCTGACGTCTGCTGCTGCTGGCGCAGGCCAGCAGTTCCGCCACGCTGCAGGGACGACCTCGGCCTACACTGCACCGGGCGGTCAGCTGCGCCAGGCCGCTGGGAGCAGCTCTCCTGACCCTCCATCTGGCGGTTTGTTCCGCCAGCCTGCGGGTCTGACCTCCGGCGATCCTGCACCTGGTGGTTCGTTGGGGCAAACCGCATTGAACAGCTCTCCTGATCCTGCACCAGGCGGTCCGTTTAGCCAGGCCGCTGGGAGGAGCTCTCCTGACCCTGCATCAGGTTGTCGGTCGGGGCACGAGGATGGGAGGAGATCCGCTGACCCTTCAGCTGGCGGCCAACTGGGACAAGTGGCTGGGTGGAGCTCTGCCAACACTCCTACTGGCGCTCATTTGGTCCAGACCGCTGGAAGACCTACAGCCGACCATGCTCCTGACGAGATGCGCACGATAGCTGCTGGGCACACCTCCACTGAGACCCATGATGGCAGCTGTTCCTGCCGTCATGCGAACCGGTTCCGGACGCCCCTTTCTGCCCGTCTGCTGGCATGACCTCTGCCGACCCTGCTGTTGATGGCGTGTTAGGCCAGGCTGCTTGGAGGACCGACGCCAATCCTGCTGCTGGCGTGCTGCTAAGGCCAACCGCGAGGCGCATCCCCGACGACACCAACACTAACGGCGTGTTCTCCCCGCCTGGAGGCGCCGAGCTTGGCGGCCACTTTGGCGAGGCCAATGGGAGGACCTGGACCAACTCTGGAGCAGACGAGCCGCTCATCCCGAACGCTGGTGGAACCGAGGCCGGTGATGCTGTGGGCGGTCAGACAGGAGATGCGTATGGGCGGGCCACTACACACGCTGCTGATCATGAACTGCACGGGCATGTGGCAGAACCGACCTCTGATGTTGAAGAGGCGCGTGCCGCACATCGTGCTCTCCAGCGTGAGAACCAGCGGCTGTTGAATGAGCTTGAAGAGCTTAGGCGTTCGCTTTCTCGGTCAACGTCACCTGCTGAGACCTCTGGTGGTGCGGGCGAGCAGCAGGAACCGTCTCCAAACTCTGGGAATGTCGCAGCTAATGTGCAGCCAGGAAGGCATCCCATCGTACCGATCAACGATCGGCTGCTTGGGAGGGCCGTTGGGAACGCTCACGCCCGGGGAACCGAGCATGGCCTGCAACACTTGACCCCGGAGCAGGAGGTCCTCGCATTCGACCTTGCTGCAGCGATGAGGCGAGTCCCCGAGGTCAACAAAGGGCTTTATGTAAGCACCTTCCATGCTGGCACGCCATCCACATTCTTATGTTTTTCGCCTCTCATGCTTACGCAGGCAACAGTTTCTCTATCTCGTATCTTGGTTTTCAATGTAACACACCCTCAACATGCTGCGTGTGTTACTTCCCCACTGTCACCAGGTGGCAATGTTGGATGCACTCACCGTTCTTTTCTGGGATATGCCGGATGGTAGGATGGACTTCTGGCCATCTCGGAAGGTGCTGCTGGGAGCGCTTGCTACTGCTTTGAAGTACAAGACGGTTGGTCAGCGGACCGACCTGCTTCATGTGTATCTTTTTGACCCAGTTCGACGTGGCTATATCCGCAACAAGCTGCAGGATGGACGGCATGTCATTCTGCATACCGGTCGATGCGGTATTTACAGAGCGTTTGACTTGTACATTCAACGCCCCGACCAAAACCGCAAGCTCATGGGTTCCACCTTGATCGAGGCGTGGAAAGTGCAATACAAGCCAGGTATGTCTCTGTTGCCCCACTACCTGGAAGGAAATGTTTTTGATCCCATATCCATGTGAGCAGCCTGGCTGCTGCATGCCTGTAGTCGAGGCTAGGCAATCACCTCACCCCACCCCACTTCACTCCACTCCCCTCTTTCCTTCCCGTCCCCTGCTCAGGTAAAAAATTGCCAACAAAGTGCTAATTGGAGATTCAGGGGAGGGTGCTGAAAGAAACCCTTTTCATCCAACCTCCATCCATCAACTCCCGCTCCCGTCCTCTTTCCCCTGCCTTCGCACCCCCATATCCCTGTGAGCAGCCTCCCTGCTGCATGCCTTCTATCGCCAGAAGTAGTCGAGACTAGGCAATCACCTCACCACCCAACCCCCTTCACCACTCCCGTCACTCATTCCCTTCCCCTGCTCAATCAATAAAACCGCCTGTAGATTGCTCGCAGGAGATTCAGGAGAGCTTTATGAAACAAAAAAGTTCAAAACGTTTTTATCACACCCCCTTTACGTCAACTCCCGCTTCCCTTCTCTCTGTCCTGCCTTCTCACTACATATCCCTGTTAGCAGGCCTCGTACTGCATGCCTTTTCCGCCAGCTGTGGTTGAGGCTAGGCAATAACCTTACCCTACCACCCTTCTCTCCACTCCCCTCTCTCCTTCCCGTCCCTCTCAGTGAACTAAGCCGCCAGCAGTGATGCTCACAGGAGATATCAATAAGCATGCTAGAAATTTCGCTCTCATTCCACCTCCTCTCAACACCCGCTTTCCTTCTCTCTCCCCTATAACTCAACCCACATCTCAGCAGCCCCACAGGTGCATGCTTTGTATCGCCATCCGTAGTCGAGGCTAAGCAATCACCTCACACCAACCCCCTTTCCTCCACTCCCCTCTCTCATTCTCGTCCCTATTCATTGAAAAAAACCGCCAGCATAGTGCTCACAGGCGATTCAGGGGAGGTTGCTGAGGAATTTGTTCTCATCCCCCACCTCCTTCTCTCAACACCCGCTTCCCTTCTCTCTCCCCTAAACCCTTCTCACCCCATATCTCAGCAGTCCCACTGGTGCACAGCTGGTATCGCCGGCTGTAGTCGAGGCTACGCAATCCTCCACCCCACCCTCCTCTACTCCACTCCCCTCTCTCCTTCCCGTCCTTATGTGAAAAACCGCCAGCATAGTGCTCACAGGCGATTCAAGGGAGGGTGCTGAAGACTCTGTTCTCATCCCACCTTGTCTCAACTCCCACTTCCCTCCTCTCTCCCATGTGCCTTCCCCAAATCCTTGTGAGTAGACTCCCTGTTCCATGCCTTGTATCGCCAGCTGTAGTCGAGGCTAGGCAATAACCTCACCCCACCCCCCTTCACTCCCCTCTCTCCTTCCCTTCCCCTGCTCAGTGACAAAACCGACAGCTGAATGAGAGTCAGGGGCGCTGGCTGGAATATGGTTCTCATCCCTCTTCTGTTTACTCCGGCCCCGTCTTCTCTCCCTATGTTGCTTCTGTTATGCAATCCCATCTGTTTTGCAATGCCTGAATGTGTGTGCAGTCGATGGGTCTTACGATCTGTACACGTGGCATTGCAACCAGAACGGGGTCCCTTTCTCCAACGCTGTCTTCACGCGCTTGATTGCGGCGTCTTTCCGCCGCGATGGGGAGGATGTCCTTGTGCTGAAGCTCAAACAGATTGCTTTTTGGCTGTATGGGGTGAGTGAGTGTAACGTCCTTTTCTGAATTGAGTGTAACGCATACTAGTTGTAATTCATCAATGCCTCCTTATGTCCATGCAGGTAGAGCACAAGATCATACATGGGGAAGAATTGCCCCGCAGCACGACAAGGAACAGAGAAGGTGTTGTGCTGTACCACAACAACGTGCGACGTTGGGCGCGAGACGCAGTCGACACGAGCACCAATGCTACGGGTCCCTGGTGGGACAGTGCCAACAATGCCTGGCGCTTTTCGCGCTCGGACTGTGGCGTTTTTATTAGCAAGGAGGGTCTGGATGATATTTGAATATGGCGTGGTGCTTGATGGGTAATAGCAGTTGAGGAAGGTCCTCAATTATTACTGTAGCACTCGTCTTGCTGAAAAACGAGTGCATATTAATCTGGAAATATATCCAGATTTATATTAAATATATAATATATAAAATTGTTTTAAGAATTATGATTCACGTATACGGTAAAATTAAAATTTCTAAAATGTATTGTTACAATATGTAGTAACAAAGTAACGTAGTAGCGCCGTAACAATTGTTTATTGATATGCGCATAGGATAATTGCATTCTACGTTTGAGTGTATGCGTAACCAGAATCGTAACCAGGTAGACTCCATGTAATCGCCGGATTGATGTCGCAACCAATAAGAACAATCTGTCGCGAACCAATACGATGAAGTCGATGGCGATTGGGGTTCACCGCGGTAGCCCATCCCTGCAGACCAAGTAACGAGCTCCGATTGGTCAGTCATTTCAAAGTTACGATAAAGCAAGATTTGGGTGTAAATGAGATTAACGGCTGAGATTCAGTGGTTTAGATTCCGAGAAGTTTCTGTTGAAGCCGAGTCATTTCAAAGTTATGAGAGGGAATGTTGGCCACAATCTTTGGAGTAGGTGTTGGAAAACCTACCGAAATGTTACCCCAATGTTGCCAGGTGGTAAGAAACGAAACCCCCGCGTTTTGGGATGCCGACGCGACTCGACGGTGCAAGCCGCCGCGACTCCGATTGGGACTCGTGGGCGGGAACTCGGTAACGCCTCCTGGAAACGTGAAATCACTTGTCACTAGTTCACCTGAACTGATCGGAATGCTGTCATCGGAGCTCGATTTCCGCATCACGGCGCGAGCAGCCGCTGCTTTGGGTGAGGGGCTAGGGCGGACACACCCCGCAGGAGGACTCGCGGGGAGTTGCGCTGCTTTGGGTGAAGTGACGATCTTCGTTGGTGATAACCTTCGAGGACTCCTCGGAGCTTTTGGAGGAGATGACAGCATTGACTCGGCGCGCTCTGGCTTCTGGCTTGTCTGTCGAGGAGTTAGGGGTGTTTCTCCGACGCCTGGCCAGGGTTTGCTGGAGCGCTCCGTGAGGGACTGAGATTGAGCCGATTTGCGTGAAAAACGGGCGAAGGCCGATATCATGTGCTTTTTCAGGCTCCCGTGCGCCTGTCCTTCCATCGTAGCTGGTGACGTCGAGCGAGACTTAGTATTAGTAGGGCTGCTACTCGGAGACATTAGTCACGAATGTTCAATTGACGTCCTTTGATGGTGTCAACAGCCTGTAAAACCTGATTTTTGTAGTTAGAACGGTTGAATGACACGAGAACTGAAGACACCAAGTACCGCAAATGACTCAGCTCGGCACTCTTAGTGCCGCTCAAGTTACTGCCGCGGCGACAATTAGGAAAAGTGTCGCGTAGACATGAACGTTCTGTGGCACAATAGAACGTTTTGTCCCGGAAGCATCAGTCGCAGTTTCCTTCGGCTGAAGGAACACACACATCACTCGTGGATTCGGCATAGTTGCAATGTACAACCACCTAAAATCTACTGTAATACAACCGCCAAATCCACCTCTCATGTTGAGAGAGTCTCAACTGGACAGCTGTTCTACACGGTGCTCTGCTAGCTTGAACGACAAGCGAGGTCCTAAAAATAAGAGATCCGTTCATGTCACCAACAGTCAAGGGAGAATCCGTTGATTTCGCCACTCACCGTTACGACGTACAGTTGTATAGCGGCTTTGTGGGGCCATAGCGGCTGGGTAGGACAAACTACGTAGGACTTTTCTAGTGGGACAAAGCTGATTTCCGAGGCATTGTGACGTTTCGATGTTTGCCCCTTCTGATGTTGAGATTGCAACGCAAGGACTGAATATTCCGCTGCGACCATGTTTCTTTTGTTTTTCCGCTGACTCATGTGCGCAGTCCAGGTCTTTGGTTTCCTTAAAGCCAAATTGTTTGAAACAGCCCTTAAATTGGGGTGAATGTAAAATGAATACACAGGGGGGTGAAATTGGCCCTAGTGAAGTTGGCGAGGACTTGGTGTAAAATTGATGGCAGCTTCTTTTACCAATCTTGTACGTAAGTATGCGATTCGTACCCGTACGGAAACCGCGTAACGGGGGAAGTTTATCGCACTTCGTTGTACACGATTTACCTTGAAGCAAGGGCCTGCAACGATTTACCGCGCTTTGTGGCTTGGCTTTACTGTGTCCTTCGTCATCCCCCCTGCATTATGTATTTGCCCTTTCGTGGTTGCCTTCACACCTTTTCTTCCACACGTATCTCCCCCCCCCCCCCATCCCAACCTTGGTCATTCACACCAATGTTGATGTCCAAGTCCTAAACCTGCTGAACTTCGTCACTCCTCGAAGGGCAAACTTTTTTGTCGGGAAACTGTGGGAACGCCATCTAAAATGGCTACCGAAAACCTTGTAATCTTGGGTATAGACATTCCGCAAGTGGTGGGAGGGTGGGTCACGGGAGCTCGCGAGCAAGGTGCCCCCAACCAAGTGAGCTTGCTGTCAGTCATCAGTCGGACGTAGCTTCGCTGCTTTGGTCGGGATTCGGTCGGGTGCAAGACTCCATGGTCGGGCTTGGCTCGGTATGAACAAACTCCGTCTGCTAGCGTGAGACGAGATTCTGATAATATCCTTGAGCGAAATCGTAATCAGAATGTTGCAGCGCATCACCACTAGGCCTAGCCCCAACTTTCAGATCCAGGCCCTTTCAGAACGGGCGGCCTCTATCGCGTTTTGCGTTATGACGTCCGTGCGTGGCCCAACATGATGTCCTATTAAAATACAATTTCGAGTCATATACCTTACATATCTTTTCCATTTTTAGACACAAAGGCTGGACGCGGGGTTTGCACATGTAGCACACAGGTTTCGTATGAGAAAATTTATATCTTGCAACACCGGTTACTCAAGTATGAAAATCATGTTTTTTAACGAAAGTTTCGAGCTGAGGCACGCATTCTGATGCCATAGAAACAAGTCCTTCTTATAATGACATATCCGGCCTGAACGACCTTGCCTCCAAGGCTTCCTCGCTCATTTATAGTTTTGCGCCCAACCAGTTGCTAATCCTCGTCTTTTTGAGTCCCCGTCTGCTGCGATCAGAAAGGGATCGTAACCAGGATCACCTCAGGAAGGTTCGCACACTTCTAGTCTAGTGGTGGTGGGCCCTTGACCTCAATAGCAGAGTGAATGTAAAATGCTTGAGATAATTAAAACATGCAAATACATCGAATATAAATATGAGTACAGGGAAGACGAAACTGTCAGTAGAGCTGCACTGTGAGATCCCCGATCGATCCTAGGGGGGGTTACAGGCGCGTTTGCCTTGGGGGGTTATGGGCGCACTGACCCGCTACTGAAACAAGCCCTTTTATCCCAGTGGTCTAGTGGTTGGGATTCTGACATGGTATCAGAGAGGTCTCGGGTTCGAATCCCGGTGTATGCACATGTAGGCCGTTGCCACTGTGCTCAGTCCTGGGCCTCCCAGTGTGGGGGGGTGTCAGTAGAGCTGCACTGTGAGATCCCCGATCGATCCTAGGGGGGGTTACAGGCGCGTTTGCCTGGGGGGTTATGGGCGCACTGACCCGCTACTGAAACAAGCCCTTTTATCCCAGTGGTCTAGTGGTTGGGATTCTGACAGAAACGACCTAGCTAGCCATGTACTCTAAGGGGTACATTCCCTTCTTCAAATTCATTCCCAACCGTGCGGCGCGTACAGTTACGAAACTGTTCCCGCCGAAATCACCTTGGCTGCAGCTGCCCGATTCCGTCTGCTCCGACGGTCCAGATGCGCCATAACCGTCTGACGCTTCGAGTCAACTCTGACTCTTCGTGTTCGTTCTCGATACTGCATGCTTCTCTTGCTGCGGTGAGGAGTGCACAGTAGTAATCAAATACTACTATTTGTAACACCCCCCTTGACTTCTGGCCGTAGCTCGACTTGACCTGCTTGACCACGCCGCTGAGTTCGGAGCAGTGCTGGTACTGCTGGCATGGCAGTCACTTGGTGAGGAAGTCTGCTGCCATGTCACCGGTCGGGCAATAGGTCAAGTTGACCTTGCCCTTGTCCACCTCGTCCTTCACGAAGAAATATCGCAGCGCAATGTGCTTGGTGCGGTTGACGAAACCAGGTTTGTTCGCGATGCGAATCGCGCTCTGGTTGTCGCAGTGAAGGCGAAAGGTGGGCGAGGCTGGGATTTTCGCTTCTTGCAAGAGTTCCTGCAAGTAGAGGCCTTCGCGAACTGCTGCGGTTGCTGCGATGAATTCTGCTTCGGCTGATGACAGGGCAACCAGCTCCTGCTTCTGCGAGTTCCAGGAGATTGGTCCTGTTGGTTCGAGTCGGAACGGGAAGCCTGTCCTGGACCGTCGAATGTCAGGATCTGCTGCATGATCGGCGTCCACATAGCCGATGAGGTTGAAGGATGGGGTTGGCGCAGTTGAGTAGCACAGCCCAATCTTGGGCGTCGAAACGAAGAATTGCAGGGCGCGCTGCAGGTCCTGGAGATTCTGAGCCGTTGGTTTGCGTGAGTACTGGGCCAACTGGCTTGCGATGTAGGAGAGATCTGGCCTGCATGTGACAGAGGCGAAGAGCAGACATCCCAACTGCTGCTGGTAGGTCTAAACTCCAGCAGGGGATAGGGCTTTGTTGTCAGGCTTCTGGTTCGGTCCAGGGGTTCGGTAGGGAGTTGAGAGGGGTGCAGGTGAAATGTTGAACC